AGGGGGTTTATTTTTGGACTTTTCAATGATCTTAACGTCTTGTCGAGATTTTTTTATCACTTTGTCCAAAATATTGAGCATTGCAATTTGGATCCTAGCAAGAAATACAATAAACTCCTGATTTGTGATTCAAAGGAACTTTATCCTTCGAATTAACAAAATTTCTTGAAATATCAACTGTGTAAAAATAGATATTGATATCCTCACTATATCGATGCAAAATTTTGTCATATGAGACTTTGCCAAGCAGAGGAATGGATGAAAAACGTATTCCTAACAACACAGGAATGTCCTAGACACGTTCCTTTTATGTTCCAAAGTGTACTGTCGGCACAAGAATATGATTGGGACATCCCTAGGATGTCCTGCTTAGTATTTCCAGGGGATGTTTCGACTGACTGAGTTTTTCCATTCATGTCCCTATACATCCTGATATCTATATATCTATCAGAATTCATATCCAACAACAAAATATTCATTGAAGATGCATCTTTGTTACCTTACTGACAAAATCACAAACAAGTGATCTTCAATTATTTTCTGTCTGAATACCTAGTCCTACATATCATTCTGTCCAACCAAATACCGAATAGGATAATCAGTGGTTTTCGTACCATTTCATCATTCTACAAGTTTTGAGTTTATCTATACGTTTCTCTAACATGTGAAGCTTCATTCGCCAACTTGTGTTCCGTTGCAATGAAACTACTTTTATTTATGTAATCGCTACATGATTTCATAGATATTAACAATAAGGAATTCACTATTGATGTGGTAATAATATGGTATACCTACGTATACCCATTGGATATTTTTGGGATTATATGTGGGTAGTACCTGGTATATCCCTATGACGTACTGAAAGGACGTCCGGGTAGGTTCTTTTTGGAACCCATGGGGTGTCCATAGACCATCCTTAGTATAATTCGTGTCCCGACACGGGCTGTCCCAGGGACATCCTACTAGTGAATGAGGGACGTCCCTGCGATGTCCATAGAATGTTGTTAGGGATTCAAATTCAGAACATTTCTCAAACTTGAGAAGCAATATATCTTTAGAGCAGAATCTAACAAAAACAATGGGGATTTTATCAAAATAGGAAAGTTTGGTATTTACCACCAGTGTCCCTTGTTTTCAATATTTGATGCTCTATTGACTCCACAGCTATTTTTGTTTGAGAGAATAGCTTATCAATGATGTTAAATTATTTCTTGAATCTTAGGAAATTTCTCTATAGTAACTTATCACAAAAAATGCTCAATTCGTCAATTATTGTTTTCATGATTCATTCTCCTCAAAACTTACGTTACATCATAGCACTGTACCAAATTCGAAAACATGGATTAAACAGTGTATTATGAAAAATACTATTTCGATCTATTCAAGAAATAAGTATGGTCAACGGATTGATCCTCTTTTCAAAGACGTCTTCTATAGTTTCTGTCGACCACTTAAAAAATTTTCAATATTTTTTCATATATATATATGTATGTTATAGTAATGTTTCCATTTTCTACTTCATTTTTTCATAGATTAAAGTCCATGTGGTTTCATTTAATCGCCAATATGTAAATTTGAGGTGAATGCGAGTGTATTCATTCATGTTATCATAAAAGATTTTCTCAATATTAGGTATTCTGCCTCATTTTATAGCCAATCAACTAAAAATAATAGATAATATTTATGTACCTGCTGGTGATTGGATCGATGATGAGATAACGATATTAACGAGACTGGAAAAAGTTCGAATCTGAATATATAATTTACAGAAAATGAAGGTGGATTATGGATCGAGGCCATTTTCCATAACAAGGAAATTGATTTCATCTTGTTAGTAGGCATTTGTTCGGTAGGCCATTAAAAATCGTTTCATATTCCAGGGTGATTACATGTGAAAATAACTCACTGTTGAAAGTTAAGTAAAACGGGTCATAAATTCTGAATTTTGTAGCCTAGGGGCACTAGGAATCACAATTGCTCTGGAATAAACAGTGTTATCTGCTCCTGAGGTAGCATATGGGGTCAGTAACAAGACCTACACAAATGGGGTAAAGGACCTTATGAGTCACCATGTGACTACTACTGATTCCCAAATATCAGGATAAAAGCTTATTCATGCATGAAATTGAAAGAATTCAATAATATACAGGGTGTCCCTAGACCAGTGGGACAGTTAAATATCTTCTGAACCAATAGGAATTTTCAAAATATTATAATTTCACATCATATCGCATTATGAGTGCTAACTTCAGGAATGACTATATTTTATACGAGGGGCGCAAGAAAGGCTCACAAAATCGAACATCAATTTTTTCAAATGGAACACCCTGTATTTCATTGCATTTTCATATACTCCTTGAAGAGCTGAATTCAACGACCTAGCACATATCGCATTATGAGTGCTAACTTCAGGAATGACTATATTTTATACGAGGGGCGCAAGAAAGGCTCACAAAATCGAACATCAATTTTTTCAAATGGAATACCCTGTATTTCATTGCATTTTCATATTCTCCTTGAAGAGCTGAATTCAACGACCTAGCACACTTGGGGTCTAGCAAGAATGATTTCCGAGATAAAGGGTGTGGAAAATCGAGATTTTTCATTTTTGGAAATTTTTTGTGTCAAAACTATTTATTATTGGTCAAAACGGCTTACATGTCCATATCTTAACTTTTGATTCACTATTTACTCGTATTTAATTGAAACAAATACAGGGTGGTGTAGAATTCTCAGTTTTAGTCAGTCGTTGAATTCAGCTCTTCAAGGAGAATATGAAAATGCAATGAAATATAGGGTGTTCCATTTGAAAAAATTTATGTTCGATTTTGTGAGTCTATGAATATGACTATTTCATCTTATCCGGATGAGATTCTACAGGATGATAATCAAAGCTGTGCATTTTTTCAAAAATTTGAATGTTTTATTAAGATAATGCATGATTTGATGCTCTAATTTCTATTGGCTTTGTGTTCCTGTCAATCTGGTTCGAAGGGTGGTCAAAAATCTTGAAATGATGCATGATCAACCTATTCTTATATACAGGGTGGTCCAACTGCTTGTTAAGAATTCATGTGTTATTGAATTTTCATACTTTTCACGTTCACTTCAATGTTAAATTAAATTAAACGTGAGAGTGATATGTGATTTGAACTGATGTTACTGATGAAAAGTCATGGAACTGGAACATTATTGAGACTGTGATGAAATTCAATATGGAAAATTCAAGTTTTTTCTGAGTCAGGACAATACATAACCTTGTGACTCACGTCTGTCATTCTTTGGAATATATAAGTCAATTGTGAAGACGTTCACCGCCAATGAAATCACATCATGATACTCGTTAATTTATTGCAATTGTGATGAATTCTGTCAGTTGAATGGTATGTCTGGGCAGCAACTCTTTTTATTTAGACGACATCCTATTCATTTCTTCAGTCTATCTCATTCGCCTTGAAATTATCTTCTAAAAATCAATCACAAAGTGAGAACGACGCTCTGAAAATCCGGTTTTCCTAAAAATTCCAGTGATTTGATCTTGCAATAGATTCTGTGGCAACTTGAAATGGTGATGACAACCTCTCCTACACGCTTTGATCTCAATCGGTTTCCTGCTTCAAATTTTCCTTGCTCGTCAAAACAAGATTTTTTTTCATTACTTGATGTCATAATTGTTGTTTTTTGAGGACCACCCTGTACAAAAGAATAGGTTGATCATGCATCATTGCAAGATTTTTGACAACCATTTGAGCCAGATTGACAGGAACACAAAGCCTATAGAAATTAGAGCATCAAATTATGCATTATCTTAATAAAACATTCATATATCAGTAACGCGTGTGACAATTCCAAAAATGTTTTTACTGTATCAAGAAAACATTTGAAGCAATATGTTTTTGACTCCAAAAAATAATAGAAAATTTTTCTTCCAAACGGGAGGCGTTTGAATTTTTGGAAAAATGCACAGTTTTGATTATCATCCTGTAGAATCTCATCTGGAAAAGATGAAATTGTCATATCCATAGGTTCGATAGTTAAGGAAACAAGCTTTCAGAAACTGAAAAATAGTTGAAAATCGGTTGAGGAAATCGAAAGTTATAATGATTCAAATGCGATCGAAAAAATGCGATTTTACGTTTTGACTGTTGAGCAGTTTTCGCGGGAATCAATGTTACCAGGTAGCGCTCGGTTTTCATTGTTCCATGTCAAAGCCACGTCAAAACTGGGGGAAAACAAACTCAATCCTCACTTAATCCCATTAGTGCCATTAGCTTGTGTACTGTGTACTGATGATAAAAGTGATGTTTTTAAATTTCTTGACATTAATTGTCAATATTCGATCGAAAACGCTAATAATGCTAATGTTGTAGATGTTCTTTTGGCAGATATCCTGCTATATTTAGATAGAAAAAGTCGACAAGTAGTGAAAGGACAAGCAGTTCTCCGTGCTAATCATGTGATTTTGTGTGAGGCAGAAGACTTCAACAAAAGGCACATTTTTGCACTTTGCCTACAAACTTCGGCGATGAAATCTTCCCCACATGAAGTAAAATTGAAGTTGGGGTCCAGAGGAACTCCTGTAGAACAATGGATTTGTATTTGTTCATGCAAAGCAGGACAATATGGGTATTGTAAACATGTTGTAGCTGTTCTTTTATATGTCAACTGATTTGCTCGTCATAATTAGTTTGAATTGTTCGAACTATATCTAATTCTTCACTCGTTCACTATTCACTAAAGTAAAAAAATGTGATAATGTAAAAAAATTAACCAACTCAACCATCATCATGCACTACCAACAGTGCCAACACTTATTGACAAGTCTATGCACTTTATCCATAGACAACCGTTTGTTTTCCCGTTTCCCGTTCGTATTATGTAACTTAGATGTCGCCCACTTCGTGAATCTCGCGATTATATCATTCATCAGATGACGATAGAAATTTGCAGACGGCTCTTGGACTATGAGGACATAAAGATTTTCAGTACATGAAGTATCTGTCTCTTTGACATATTCATCAGCGAAATGTCATCTCTATCAGATATAACATCATCAACGTACAGTTTGAGAGATAGCAGCAAATCAACCATACTAAATTCCAAGGGATATCGACATATACCTGACAATGTCCTCCTGATAATTTTTTCATATTTCAACCAGGACGAAGTCGTCAAAAATCTCATGCCAGTTTCTCAACAATGGCGTTCTGTCGCTGAGCACCCAAGCCTTCGGAAAACTCTGAAATTTTCCGGCATTGCCAGAGATACTGCCGAGATATGCGAGAGGATATGGCGATACAATCAAGCTCAAACCATCCACGTGAGAAGAATCTGTGAGCCTGTGGATGTCCTTAGGCAAATCTGCAGATGCAGCGAAAACCTCAAGCATCTCACTCTGAGGCATTGCCCCCAAATTTTCGAAGATTCCTTGAGGCATTTGCTCCTCACCTGTAAGAACTTGGAAAGTCTAGATTTGAAAGGTACCCCATTCAGAGCTTTGATATTCTATGAAGAGCTAGTATTGGCTCAAAGCCTATCTTGTGTAAATTTCAGCGAGAATCCTTATTTGCTGCCATCGAATATCGCTACGATTATTTTGAATTGTCGAAAGCTGACTGGTTTCCACTTGTCTTCCTTCAAACCAATCAACAAAATCAACTTGACGGACTCCGACTGTTACTTTATCCTGTCCCATACTGTCCTCAAACTGAATAGCCTCACTCTAGACTGTTCAACGCTGAGTACATACAGCTTCCCATCGATTATGAGGAGCAAATATCTGAAATATCTCTGCCTCAACTACGCTTATAACTTTGACAGTAGTGATTTTCAAGATATGTGGAAGAGTTTGAAGAATCTTACATCTTTGAAGATCAGATTCGCACGACAATTGACGGATAAGAGCGTGAAGACACTGTTTATGGAGGGAAAGAAGGTTATGTCGAAACTAGAGGCGTTGGATCTCACAGGATGTTCTGGTCTGAAGGACCAAGGCGTAATTGCCATCGCTCAATGTTGTTCTGGGCTGAAAAGCTTGGTGTTGAGGAGCTGTAAGAATGTTTCTGACATTGGAGTTGTGTTCAAGAGGTGCCAGGCTTTGGAAGTTCTGAATATAGCTTTTTGTAGCCAGTTGAGGTTTGGATCAACGATGATGCCGAAAAATTTGAAGATTCTGTTCATCAGCGATGATATCCAGCTGAGGAATTTCGTTGATCTCTTGAGAACGAAAGGTAAAACAGTCGCTGTCAAGTTGTGTGAATCAGAATACAATAAAAATTATTCGAACATCTAGACATTTTTGATGATATACGAAGTAGTTTTCTTTATATGGAAGCATAGAATCGGACCGTCTCGAATAATGATAGACTTTATAAGCGAGTGGGTATATTTTTCTTCTCTACCTCAGAAGTTTTTGTTTTCAAATTCTTATCATGTGTGTTCAATAGATGTAATTCCGAGAAAGAGTTGATATTTTCATCATATGGAGAATGCGAATTCTCAATGTATTTCTTTATATATATATATATATATATTATCTGTTTTCTCCATTTTCCAATGTTCAGATTTTTCAGATGACAGTCAAGACTTCTTCTTCTTTTTCAATACCAGAATTTGTCTGTTCCAACCTAAACGTACATCCAGTGCACACAGCACTCTGAGTGATTTTGTTTTGGAATAGACAGAGAAGATTAGGTTATGTTGGTCCTAACCTGACTTTCCATCCGTGGTTTTCCAGCATGGATGTGAATAATTTTTTAAAATGTTAATTATTTCGTCTGGTCTTTTTACAAATTTCTAAATGTCAGTATTTTGCCTTTTTTATTGCCTTGACTATTGTGGAGATTTTTATTCCTACTGATGGCACCATGTGTAATGATATGTCTATCATCTTATAACATCCATGTAATTAATCTCAACAAAGATGTATGTATATTTATATTATCTATTTTTGTGCACATTAATATGATATATCATTGTAGCATCCCTGAAGAAGGAAATAAACATTTCCGAAAGCTTGGATAAACTTTAAAGAGTTTCGCTTTTACTTGCTGCATTCCCCAATACATTAGTTTTCTATATATATATATATATATATATCCATTATTTGTTGTTCATTAATATATCTGAGAATTTTCCTTCTCAATGAGTAGGTTTATACTTTTTCTATGACTATAACATAATATTATCTATATAATTTCAATGATACTCATGGTGTCGCACATTACATTATCCAGGAAAGAAGTGTCGATATCATTTAAACTTTATTCTAGTTACTTTAAATTTCTACATAATTTTCAATCAATACAAAATAGGTACCGATGAAGAATGGCAGTGAGAATTCTCGTAATTTCATGCTTGAGCGTCTTTGATAATGTGGTACATTGGCAGTATACTAGCTTGATCTTCATCTTGGTTTTCTCGTATCTGGAATGGAAACTGAATATTATATATGAACATTATAGGGATTCCCTTTCGTGCGCTCCAAGCGATAAAAAAAAATATCACGATGTTCTGAATATAATAGAGAATATTGTCTCTTCATTGTTCACGGCAACACAGTTGAGTTAACAATGAAATACAAAATTATGAGAAGATATTCAGAACAGAGTGGTATTTTGCTAGACTATTTCACGTTCACGAAGCATTTATTATAAATGAACAGTTCAAACTGACAGGTACAGTCATAATTATTTTATGCCAAACTGACAGACTCTGCTTCGCTCTTCATGGTTACATCCAGACTTTGATTTGCTATCCATGGTTACATCGTTGAAAACATGAACGTCAGACCAATCAGAATTGAAAGACAGCTCATGTATTCATAAGTTATATCACGGTGTACTGTTGCTTCACACAATTGAGTTAACAATGAAAGACAGAATGATGAGAAGATATTCATAACAGAGTGGTATTTTGCTAGACTATTTCACGTTCACGAAGCATAAAAAGCATAATTTATTATAAATGAGTGAGTCATTCTGAGAAGTTCCGAAATAATTATTTCATGCCAAACTCACAGACTTAGCTTCGCTATCCATGGTTACATCTTATCATAATTCTGTCTCTCATTGTTAACTTAATTATGTTGCCATGTTGCAACAGAATTACTTATGATAATAACATAACGATTTTGGCGAAATCGAAGGCAAATTCGAGATGACAATGAACATTTTTACAGTTAGTTATTATTAATCCTATTTCCAGGACAAAAGATATGGATAATATTGAAACATTTTTCAATTTCATTAATTTTTGCTTGAGATCTTCCTGTAGAAATTACAACGACGACATTTCGTATCTAAGTATTCGATGTGTTCTTTAATAAAATTACTACTTCATCGGCTATCAACTCCTTAAATTTCGATACAAATTGAATCAAGAATTCAAATTCAATCAATCAAAATTTGCCATCGAATAACCAGAGATGATGCGTTCAAATTTTGTATGGGGTTATTTCCGCTAGGCCTAAATCGAATAAAATAGTCACTGTTTCGAAAAAAATGGCCTAATAGTCGTTTTTGAAATTTTGACGCGTTCAACAAACAAAAGAAGTCCTTGAAAATCTGATATTTCAGATTTATCCACAGAGATCGTTGACTACTATATTGTACAAGTTCAGTTCTTGAAAATCGGCTAACGAGTTTCAAATTAGGAGGTTGAAATCGCACACACTGTATATTATGTGATTGATTGATTAATTGATTGATTGATTGATTAATAGCAGAATGATCAGTCAGGGTTCGAAGCCCAAAACACTGCAGCTTTTGGGCCTATTGTATTCCTGATCATGCTGATGACTCAGGTGAACAGGTTCGCTACCTTGATAAGGTTTAGCAGCCTCTTCACCAAATCATTCTTTGGAAAGGCCTCTCGAGAGTTTACTGCTCCCAGAAGGTTGTATCTCCAACGCGCTAGTGCTTCGCACTCCAATATTACATGGGTGGCAGTTTCCTCCTCCTCATTGCATAGTCTGCATATGGGTTCGTCTGTATAGATGCCCATTTGATGCATATGTTTCCTCAAGGGGCAGTAACCGGTTATTAGTCCGGTCACTTGTCCGATCTGACTTCCGTTTAGGCTCAGAATGTCGTTAGTCACTGTTTTGGACAGTGTCCCAACCATCAGTTTACTGTGTCTTTGTCCTGGGACATTGTTCCAGTATGCCTGATGTCTTTCTTGCATCCACCTCGCCAGCCAGCCGCGTATTGAGGTTTTGGGGATACCGAACACAGGTTCCGGTCCCATAAACAACGCCTTATGCTCTGGCACCCATTGAAGAGTTACCTTGTTGTGGTTAGGGTTACCAGGCTTTGAAGACAATCCCAGACCAGTTTTGATCTGATTATATTGCATGGTAAAGATTGAATGGCCGCCTGACTATCTGAGCATATGAGGATTTGTTTACCTCTGTATCCTCTTACAATATTCTCTCTCAGGCACGCCTCAATAGCATGCACCTCTGCCTGGAATACTGAAGCATACCTCCCCATGGAACCACACATCCTGGTTCTGGGTCTATCTCTATATATTCCGGCTCCCGTGCCCTCATCAGTATTAGAACCGTCAGTCAGAGATTCGTCAGTGTACCACACTAACGTGCCTTCCTGACAGTTAGTCAAGACCATTTCATCCCAGTAAAGCTGAGTGTTGAAGGGTCTGTAATAGTTATTTCTAGGCAGCTTTTTGTCACCTCCCATTTCCATTAGTGGGCTTGAAACTAGGCTGATTATTTTTGTATGTCCCAGGGAGTCACCTCGCTTCCGCCTTGATGAAGGTTTACTATGTGAGAAAATTCAGGTATTTTTGATTACCTAACTTGATAATAACATACCGATTTTGGCTTACCCAATTTTTCAGGAACCTTGCCAAATTGTGGCGCTGTTTTTTCGTCGATTCCAAAATGGAATTGCTCATATCCGGTAGAAACCCATTTTTTGCCGTGTCTATTGCCAAATCGTCTCTAGAATTCATCTGGAATAGTTCTCTGTAGGCATTCGGTGAAGAAACAGTCCTTTTTCCATATCCTCCATAACAGGAATGACCAAAATTCGCACAGCCCACTAAGATAACATAGGTAATTAACAACTTATTTTGCAGAATTTGGTGTCATTTGTACCGTTGAAGCAAATTTATGATATTAGACACAGGGAGATCATGTTTCAGTGCGGAATTTCCCAGGAATCAAAGAAAAACTCGATAAAATAATAATCGAATAAATAATATACTGGGTGGAGACTTCAACTGGAATGAATCCGCTACTAGGGAAGTCGATAATTTTTCTACAATTTCCCGAGACATGTCAAGGTTTAGTGATTATATTTCAGTTTGCAGTACGTTTGAGAGTCCAATGAATCAAAATATTATTTCAATATATTTACAACGTATTTTCTTCAAAATTTTGACTTTTAGTGAGAATGATATATAGGGCATTTCCACCAGTCTGCAATAATACTTTGTTTCGAACAGGTGAATATGGCAAAAAAACTAAATTTCTCTTTGCAGCTCTATAAAAACACTAGAATACAATAGTAAATAGCAGTTGTGGCAAAAAAATGCCATCAACTGTTTAACACACATTTTGAGCTATTGATAAGTTGAAAGAACAAATCAATTTTGAAATTACATTTCAATTTGATGCAATCTTTTAACGTATGAAAAACTCAAATTTGACGTACGCTGGATCCTTCTTTTATTCTTTCCGATGAGGGGTTACAAGCCATAGGGTTAAATTTGAAAAAATCATGTTGAGGGTGATTTCAGCTACCACTGGAGGAAAATATTCTCGATTTTGCTTGCAAAAGTTATAATAGATTATCTTCTGTAGTCTACGGTTATAGGTGAATACATATTATTCTACAAGCGTGCGTGATTCACCCTATACCCGCACGCAATTCAGTTTGAGAAGTGTCATTTTCCCGCAGTAGTGCGGGAAAAGTTTTCTCACACTATAACGGGGAATTTTTCCCCACACTAGTGCGGAAAAACATATAACAGTGTGTCCATTTAGTGCGTAATTCTTCGATATCTCCAAAGCCATAACCTATAGAAAAAAACTTTGAAAGAAAAACTACTTCAGTTACTCAAGTTGCTTATTTCGAAAATATTTTCAACATTACTGGGTGTTTTATAAAAGCGGGATGACTCAGAGACGAGTTTTTTTAAATGGAACACCCTGTATTTTTTATCCTGAAATTATTCCGCCGAGGTTTACCTTCACATCGCTGTAAAAAAAATTGAAATCGGTTACGGCGTTGCCAAGTTATAATTGATAAATCTATTTTTACCACTATTGAAGAGTCATGTTGAATTGGGCATGGTATATTCATTTATTCAAATTATGAAAATATTTTTGGCATACGGTAGTAGCAAGGTCTCACGTATACAAATTCAGTAATTTTGCGACATGTTCTTCAACAGGGTGCTCTATTTCGCATTTAGAATTTCGCAAGATTCAGATGGCATTCATTAGAATTTTTCAAATGGAACACCCTGTATTTTTTTTCACAAATTCATTCCGACATCTTTCACCTTTTTATCGCTGAAAAAAAATCATAATCGGCTGCGGCGTTGTCAAGTTATGGATAATTTCCTTATTTTTACTACTATTTCGGAGTATAATTTTTACGTCATAGTTCTTTCATTCAAATAATCAAATTTCTTCATTGACCATTCATATATTTTTTTACAATAGGAACATTTGCACGCTGTCCAAGTTCGAATTTAAAACAGAGTGGATTTGACAAATTGATCCAAAATGCTACTTTCACAGATTTTTTTGCAGACAACGAATTAATTTTTTGACGTACACTTCCATTATTCGTGTAATGACCTGTCAAACATCGTCACAATCAAATATATCTTGAATTTATTTGAAAATTTCCTGAATTCCCTCCCGAAACCCGCGTAGTAAAGAAATGTTTGTATCATTATGTAGAGTTTGCCTCCTTCAAGTTTGATGGAGATTTGGTTTGTGGGAATAACGACAATAAAAGTGGTCCAAATTTCAAAAAATTGTCCTTATTCTCGCAATTCAAATCTCCATTGTTTGTATTGTAGAAGTTGTTTTAAAGGCAGGCGTTTTGCTTTTGGCATGTTTGTTTCACATTTTGACAATGCTTATATCGCAAAGATACCTGAATGATCTATGTAGAACCTCGAATGTCATGTGGCAAGCAATATTCCCACAATCAAATCAAATAACGGAACCATGTCTCATAAGTTGCCCTGAGATAGTGATGAACATAAGGAAATTACTCATAACTTGAAAACCCCGCAACCGATTTCAATTTTTTTTTCAGCGATGAAAAGGCGAATGATGTCGAAATGAATCTGTGATGAAAAATACAGGGTGTTCCATTTGAAAATTTCTAGTGAACGTCGTCTGAATCTAACAATATTCAGAGTGTAAACTTACGTGAGACCTTGCTACTACTGTATGCAAAAAATCTTCTCAAAATTTTAATAAATGAATATACCATACCCAATTCAACATGACCCTTCAATAGTAGTAAAAATGGGTTTATCAATTATAACTTGGCAACGTCTCAACCGAATCCAATTTTTTTCACAGCGATGTAGAGCTAAACCGTAACGAAATGGATTTTGAATAAAAAATACTGGGTGTTCTATTTGAAAAAACTCGTCTCCGAGTCCTTCCGCTTTTATAAAACACCCAGTATTGTTGAAAATATTTTTGAAATGGAACCTTCAATAACGGAAGAAATTTGTTTCCGAAATTTTTTCTCTAGTGATAATGGATTTCGAGATATCGAAGAATTACGCACTAAATGGACACACTGTATATAATATTTTCGCAAAATATGAGTGATGGGTGACACAATATGAAAATTTGAGTTTTACTTGTTGCAGTATTTAGTAAGTTTGTACAAAATTATCCATCAAATTTCACTATTTATTGTGAAAATGAAGAAATATTGAAAAATAATAATTGATTGTTATATAAATCCCCCTATAGCCTTCAATTGATATGATGATCTGATGTGGGAAACAATTGTTGTAATGTCAATCAAAACACAAATTAGTTAGTATAATTCTCAGAGTGACAGACAGAGCGTTACTGTCATTTTCGATTCAGTGGAATTGCGATGGAAAACTTCCAGCTACAGATGCGATACAGATGAGTTATTGCTTTTAAGGAACGTATGATAAGCACTACACGGGATTTATTGAATGGTGCAATAGTAAAAAATTGGAAACACCAAATAATAAAGAAGAAGTATTTTTGGCTCATTTCCAAGAAATGTCTGAAACCTAGAGGCCAAAGACCATGGGCAAGCTGGCTTCCGCAATTAGCTTACCTACATAATGCTTCAAACGGTACACACGATATATCACTAATTACTAGAAGATAGAGAATATGTCACTATTTGTTAGTTGATCCTATTTGCATGAATAATAATTGATTGAACAAATCAATCAATTTCCTACGCTTGTAGAAAAAATATTGTTCCTAACTCATGCGGATGTCTTTACCGCACTCGACTGTTTGCCCGAACTCCGCTTCGCATCGTTCGAGTCAACGGCATTCGCGTGCGGGAAAGTTAGAAAGTTACAAAGGAAAAATTACTATAAATCGTTGACGTATGTTGGGAATTATATAAAAAAATGTACCTCCCCGCTAACGAAATTATTACAGTCTCCACACTGTATATGGTCTTTGATGGTTTTCTCGTGTGTATTTCAGGGTGTATAACCTATTGAAACCATCCATCGAATAGGTAATACTGAGATGTTTATTAAACTTACTTGTTCCTTCTGAATATTGGGCTGCAGCACATAGAACTATAACCGAGATTGAAATTTTCAGAAATACCGCCATTTCTCACTGATTCACTCCTTAGAGATATTCACAAGCCCAAACCTTCTGAAAAATACTGCATGGTTTCCTAGACAGCACACTTTTATATTAATCCATGTGGGATAATCTTGGAGTGTTTTGTTTTCATTCGACTAATAATTAAATCCAGTCCACTTAACTACACACTGCATTTCCCACAGAAAGGAAAACATTCACTGATGATAATCATTTTGGCAACTAATTTGAATTTTTCGAGTAGCTCAAATAAATCGGCAGGGTGTCCTCAAACGTATGATACCAGGAATTTCAGGGAATTAGTGAAAGGTAACAGACACTTGTCAAAATTTCGAATCAGATCCCGTTACTAACATTAATTTTGACCTGCAGATAGAGGACACTTTGATGATTCTAAATCACCCCTCATTGATTTGTCTACCGTCTTTTATAACAGATACAGGACGTTATCTTGATTTTGGCAAAATCTTCATCTGGACCTAATATTTCAACCACTTTGTATAATCTATTCATACTTCTTAGAAATATTCCACTTGAATCACTCGGCATAACTAAATAAAAATCGAAATCAGAATCCAGGTCCGTCTTAAGGAAAAACAGAAAGTTTCTTTTATTTAAAAAAAAACACTCCGTTTTGGCAAAATTTTGTAAATCTGTTTCGATATATGGAAAGACCGGTAAAAAATGAATAGAGATACCTGATTTTTTGAGCACGCATCCAATTTGACAGATGTTTCATTATTATTTTTGGAAATATTCAGCTCCGTTTTCAGGCATATTTATTGAACTCGTAATTCAAATTTCAATTTCAATCCAAAATAATAACAGTTTTCAGAGTTCAACATCATCTGAATCAAATGAGGTGAATCGATAGATTCGTTCGTTTGACAAAATAACTTGTCAATGACTTTAGTGAATTTCGAGGGCTCATTTTATTCTTCACAATTTATTCATGAACTACGGTAAAGTTGGTTGTGCAGAAATTTTTTAAATTCTGACAGTTCCTAATCACTAGGGTGATATTATTGGTAACATTAAGGTCAATTCATGTTGAGGAATAAATTATAACCACTTTGAAATGTAACAACACAATACAAGCACCAACAATTATCTTATGTTACCAATAATATCACACTGGTGATTATGAACTATCAGAATATCAGAATTTGTTGCACAGCCTACTTCACCGCAGCTTATTAATAATCGTAGAGACTCTTATTTTTATGTATTGAAATTGGAATTTGAATTACGAGTTCAACAAAAATGCCTCAAAATGGAGCTGAATATTTGAAAAAATACTAAAAAAACATCTGTAAAATTGGATGCGCTTTCGGAAAAAGTAGATCACTTGATCCATTTTTTTCCGCAAAATTTTGCAAATGACCTGTTTTTATTTTCAATGTCGCATCCATATGTGCCATTTGTTGGTTTCCACCACAAATCGAATCTTAGTTTTCCGGAGGTTTGTTGGGTTTCCCCATTTTAATTTTCAACATCAAAATCCTTCAATCAATAATTTTTATAATGAAAAAGTTGATGATATCACTTTTTTTTATCCCCATGACAATGTCGTGGAGATGATTTTGTGTATCATTTAGTATTTGATACTTGACTCCCTTTGAGAAACCATGGACTTCTACCAAATATTATAAACATTTTGTTGATTTGATGTTCCAACTACGATATCAATTATGATATCTCAAAAATCAAGAATGAGTGACTCATATCTCAAAAATTAGTGCTAATTTTGACTGTTATCTCGAGAAGAAGTACTAATTCTCAAGAACCAATAATAATACTCTAGAAAATAAATTCCGATTTCTTTCAATTTTAACTTATAATTGTTGGCCTTTTCTCCCGATTATCTGCAATAAGGTGTATTAATCTCAAACTTATATCTCGGTATGTGCAAATTTCAACGTATTCCGAGATTTCTACTAATATCACGAATACGAATGCAAAATTCGCCTTCGGCTCGATTCTGAGCTTCGTTTCATAATGCATGTGAACTTCCTCAGTCAAACTACCTTCAATGTACTCAGACAATTGTATCCAAATCGGGATCTACTCAGCTCGAAACTCAAACTCAAACTGTGTGAGTCACTTATCATCTCTAAAGTTTCCTATACTGTGATAATATGTATGGACCTGCCTTGCGGCAATCTAACTCTTTGCGTCTGCAACGCATCCAAAATAGTTGTTTACGGTTTTCTTTCGGTGTCCGAAAATATGACTATATCTCATCAGCAATGAAAGAATCAGGTTGGCTCAAGCTTAAGAAACTCAGAACTCTGCACATCATGTTGATTATCACCCATAATGTACTGACGACAAACACGTCTGAGTACCTTTAAAAAAAACTGACATCATTTTCAGATATAAATAGATTTGCAACTGGTAACAAATCTATTCTATAGTCATTCCCAAACACAATACTGCAATCTTCACTCGCAGCTTCTGAATTTAGATCATATACAATTAATAATTCCAAGAAAAGATTGAAGCAATACCTAATTCAGTTAGACGCCAAAATTATTGAATACCGAACCTTATCCACTTATTAAGGATTTTCGACTGTCCATATTCCTGACTTACTACTATTTACTATGAGTACCTCTTTTTTTCTTCTTATTTTTATTGTGGTATCATCTTGTGAACAACGGTTGAGTCACATATCTCGAAAAATAGTTCCAATTTCCACTCATATTTTTCAAAAATAAGTGCCAATCTTTACTTGTATCCCCTACCATCCCCCTTCCAAACCCATCACGCAACCCCGTTGCGTATAGAAAAGCAACCCGCCAAAAGCGCTCCCTCATTCCGAACTCCGCCAGCCTCCTGGCAACTCCTAACTCCGGGCGGAAAACTCCACGTCAGGCGCACGACAAGATCTGACATCGCCTCGACGTTCACGGCGGTCGTCACCAGACGTGACATCGCATAGACGTTACCGGTGACTGTCGCGTTACACGCAGCAGAGACGCAGCGATGAGAGGTTCGATAGTCTGCTGTTCGTTGGTCGGCACGGCCACTTTGATGTTGGTGCTCGGCAGCGTGGAGGTGGAGGGTAAACGTAAGTTTTAATTGGCCTTGTGTTCCTGCGATTGACCCCTTTCGATCGGGTGCATCCTTAGAGATTAGTCTACAGGGGCATTCAGATCAAGCCCGACAACATGTTTATGTATTTGTATTTTGGGAATTGGCAAGAACACTAGTTTTTTGAGAAATAAAAAAATTATTGGTGGAATATCTAATGGGAAACAACTGTTTCCCTTTCTAATACCATGAAATGATGAATTAAATCTGTGAAAAAATTGGAAATACCTAATCTGGAGGAGAGATTTTGTGATAATATACACTAACTATTGTTTAAATATTCAACAGACAACTACTTTCCTCGCTAATTCCACAGAATATTGATTTAAATCTGGAAAATATCTAATTTGAAAAATAGTTATTTGTTTAACAAGGCAGCAAAGTAGTAGATTGACTGCCGTGGCTGAATTCATAGCCGAGCGTAGCGAGGCTAGGAATCCAGCTAAGGCAGTCAATCTACTTTGCTGCCGAGTTGAACATATAATTTTTTCACCGATTGTTCATAATGATATGAAAGAATATTGTATTTGCGAATTAATACAATTCCCACAATCTCTTTGATCTTCCTGTATAGTGTTCAATTAAAATAAAATTTGATCGCAGTTGTTGGTTTGACAATTCATGAAATTTCTGACAGTTGTGCGAAAAAATATCGGTATATTTAAATTATTATATAATGGACAGTGATAGCGACCTGGAAGTATACTTACACCTCCATTAATAAAGGAGGTGGCAAAAAATATAGAGTTGAATTTGTTGCCGGAGAAGTCTCGGATGAGATATGAAGGAAATTATAAACGATTAATGATTTTTAATTTTGCTGATACATATCAATCAGCGAAGTAATCACTTTGCTGCCTAGGCAGCAAAGTACCCACTTTGCTGCCTAGGCAGGAAAAGTAATACTTTGCTGATTGATATGTGTCAGCAAAATTAATATTTTCTGCCAATCGGAGGAAAACAATTTTGAAAATGTACAATAACTATTGTATTTATTCAACAAAAAAACAACTACTTTCTTGGGTAGGTAGTACCACAGAGTTATTGCATTTTATTCGTCAAATATTAGAAATACCTTATCTGAGAAAACAATTGAAAAAATGTACAGAAACCATTTTACAAATATCTAACAGACAACTACTTATCTGAATGATTCCAGAAAAAAATTAATAATCGATTGATAAAATGTACGTACAATACCTCACTATTGTTGGAATGAATGAATGAATGAATGTTTATTGGCAGAAATAACTGATTACATGGAAGTTAACAATGATTGTTACTATTCAATAAACATTTGAATAACTCACAGAAGTCATTGACGACAACATCAATGACTTGTACGTGGTATAACACAATATCATAAGTATACATTATACAAATACAAAATTCACACAGTTATTACAATATGATCACCTATAATCTAGAATTTATACATAAAAGTAGAAAATAAAAGAAAATGAATTAAAATAGAAGTAAGAAATAAGGCGAAAGCGCAATTTCAGACAGGATTCAAGACAGCAGCATTTTACTATAACTTATTTATAATCGTGGCAAGTCAATCGATATCTATTTAACATAAAACATCTTCTTTCCTGGTTGATACCACAGAATATTGAATAATGTTATCTGTCAGATATTGGAAATACATAATTAGAGACAACAATTTGAAAAAATGGACTAACACTATTGTGCAAACTACTTTCTACTTACTCAACTACTTTCCTTGCTAATACCACAGAATATTTAATTTTATCTGTCGAATATTTGAAACACTTAACTCGAAAAATTATTCAAAAAAATGTACGATAACTATTGATCTGTCTAACAGACAACAACTACTTTCCTTGCTAATACCACTGAATATTTAATTCCATCTGTCACATATTTGGAATACCCAACTCGAAAAGAACTGAAAAAATATATACAATTACTATTGTTTGAATATCTAACAGA